CGTGGCGCCTCTGGGGTCAGCAGGGAGAGGCACTGCGCTGGGCACCGCTGCCCCGCCCCCCCAGCACCAAGGGGTTCTGGTCCAGGACAGCGGCCGTCATTCAGGGCCAGGCCACGAATAACACAACCGTGACCTGCTCGCCAGCATTTCCCTCCGCGGCCACGCATGTGGCAGACAAACCACACGTGGCTACTGGGTGTGCGAGGGAGAGCTAAGGGGTCAACCGCGTGCAGGAGGCAGACAACCGGGCAGTGGCTGGGACTGCAGCTCAGGGTGAGACAGGGCACTGGGAACCGCATTGGGAACCATGGAGTGTGGATGGACGGATGGAGGGATGTGTGGACGGACAGATGGACGGATGGATGGATGGATGGATAGATGGTTGAATGGTGGAGATGGGTGTATGGATGTTGGTTGGATGGATGGATAGATGGTTGGGTGGATGGACGGGTGGATGGATGGATGGACAGATGGACAGATGGATAGATGGATGGTTGGGTGGATGGACGGATGGATGGACAGATGGACGGATGGATGGATGGATGGATAGATGGACAGATGGATAGATGGATGGTTGGGTGGATGGACGGATGGATGGACAGATGGACGGATGGATGGATGGATGGATAGATGGACAGATGGATAGATGGATGGTTGGGTGGATGGACGGATGGATGGACAGATGGACGGATGGATGGATGGATGGATAGATGGACAGATGGATAGATGGATGGTTGGGTGGATGGACGGATGGATGGACAGATGGACGGATGGATGGATGGATGGATAGATGGACAGATGGATAGATGGATGGTTGGGTGGATGGACGGATGGATGGACAGATGGACGGATGGATGGATGGATGGATAGATGGATGGTTGATTGATGGTGGATGGTGGATGGATGGATGGTTGGATGGAGGGATTGTTGGAAGCATGATGGGTGGATAGATGGATGGATAGATGGATGGACAGGTGAATGAGCAAAAGGATGATGTACAGAAAAACAGAGGATGTAGGGATGGAAGGATGGAGGGACGGGCAAACAGAGGGGGGGAGGAGGGGTTGTTGGCACAGCTGGGTGGACGGTGGACGGCCCTGCTAGCCAAGCTTTGCAGGACTTAATTAACTGGTTACAGAGTCTTTGAACTCCCAGGTTCTCATGTCCACCCCACCCCACCCCAGAAAACTCAGGGTCCGTGAGAGAGTGTCACCCCACACCGAGGGGCAGGCCTACCTCTCTGGGCACGTTGTCAGGCCCCACACAGCCTAGGAGAGAGGAGACAGACCCCGTTAGCAGAGTCTGGGGCCACAGCACAGGCTCAGCCTCGTGGAGGCCGGAGGGAGGCCCGAGGGCGGGAGACGTACCACACACTTCCACGCAGACGTCAAAGCCGGGGGCGTAGTTCATGGTGCCCTCGGGGCAGAAGCAGCCTTCCACCAGCAGCGTGCTGTTCTCCGGGGTGCTGGGGGTGGGCAGGCGGGAGGCGCGCTCTTGAAAAAAAGTATCAATGAAAGGAAGGAATACATTTCTAGGCAGCTACACCTCTATAAAAGTCAATCAAATTCCATCATTAAATTTGTAAGACGCTCTACAAATTTAACATCAGCAAGTTACTGCATTGCTCACTCCATAGCTCAGCATGGAAAAGCCCTCAGTGATGGAGAATTTATTAAGGAAACATTTCTAAGATGTGCACCAGCTCTATTTCATGATATGAAAAATAAAGATGATATTATTAAAAGAATTTCTGAGTTACCACTCAGTAGAAATACTATTAAAGACAGAATAATAGATCTTAAGAA